TCCCAGCTGCCTGCCTGAAAGGAAGAAAAAAAATGTATATGTGTTTGGGAATTGGGAGTGAAGAAAAAGGGTACAAGGAGAAACACAAAACTAAAAACTAAAAGCCAACTCATACGTTTTGCCACATTTCGGTATATGTCCAGATTTCAGGAAAGGAAAATAGACTTCTGTTGATGCAGAAGTAGCCACCTTACCAGACGTTAGCATGTTCTTGTAATAGATTCTCAGAGAGACAAGAAACAGATAGATCTACATTCCCAAATGATCGCAGTAAATTTGGGGTTTTCTCTGTTATTATCATTCAGTGCTTTTTATTATAAAATTCTGTATAACTTCTTTTTAAAACCAAAACCGAATGTTGCTCCGAATAGGGCGAGTTTAGGTACACTAACAGTTTCTAGCAGGGTGATATACAATTATCCAGTTCTCGGAAATAATCTAAAAAGAACTCTGCTCCTGTTGGCCGTCAGTGCTGTAGTATTTCTGGAGTTTTGTTATGTAATGCTTCGGGGACTCTGCCTAGCCATCTTTATAACGTTCCCTCGCTGGATCACACCAGAAGTCTTTAATAGAAATCCAGAAATGTTTTGTTCTCAGGTCGGCAATTCTTTCAACGTTAAAAGAAATGCTGCATATTGCGGAGTCACACCTTCCAGCCGTTGAATGGACATTTGAGTGTGCTTGCCGCGGTGACTATGTGAAGTAGAAGCTTCTCGTGGTATTTCTTTAAGGAAGGACACCAGGACTTGGGGGCAAACTCTCGCCTGGGGTTCAAATCCTTGCCTTGCGTGGTCGCCGCCGCGTGATGCTGAAGGTGTTGCATGGTTTCTCCTTTTCCTGATGTGTGTGCGGGACATAGGAGGTCTACTTTTGCAGGGTTGTTGGGAGGGTTTCATGAAATGATGAGCACGTAAGCGCAGAGCATGACCCTCAGCACCGATGGGAGCTGGGGGCTCCGTGGATGGACCCTACCTGCACACAGCATTCCCGCAGGCTTGCATCGGTTGCCATGACCAAGACCAGGTGGCAGGCTGCCACACCCACCACGAAAGGTCCCTTTCCTGACCCACATGCTGGGCACTTCTCTCCTTGGGCCATATTACAATGTGCCCTGTGACTGCCCAGCTCTGAGTTTCTTGATTCCTGTCCTATTTGTCTCTGAATGCCCAGCATCCAGAGTCCTGCTCAGCACAGATGGGTACTCCAGACCTATTCATGAATCACAGTGACCGAGCCTTCCAGATGTCTTTTAGGGTCACACAGTGAGTCTCCCCCACATCCTTCAGAGTCCCTAAGAAAGGAGCTTGTGGTCTCTGGGCTGGAGACCTCCTGGCCTTTTCTTGGCCTCTCATGACATGTGAGTAGGAAGCCGCCCACAGTGATTCTGAGTCGGCTCCTTGTTCTAGCTCTTTCCCATCTGCGGTCCCCTCTCTGCCCTAGGGTCCAACTGAGGAAGCCCCCCTCAAAGCCCTTGCTGCGCAGGGGTGCATCCACACCACCTTTGGCCCCGGACATTTCCTCTCCCCTGCTTTCATGATGACAGCGCCCATCTTCTTGCTCAGCAGACTCTTCCTTGGCTTATGAGCATTCTCTGTAGAGAAAGTGGGACAGCGGTGTGGGCATGCGAGCATGCTGTTTTTCCTCTTGGAAATTGGAAAAATCACCTTCATTCATTTCAGTCTTATACATCCTTCCCAAGCATTGTAGCCTCCAATTCATAAATCTTTGTCTTTTCTCTTAGCACCATCTGGCAGACCCACCCCCCTACATGCCCATTTCTGTCCAGCATTTGGCCTTCCCAAGGGCCTCACCCTGGGCAGCAAGCTTAGGGATTGCAGGGGCCCCACACTGTTTGACATTAAGCATCCGAATGGAAATGTGGAAGACCCAGGCTCACTTGTACTATGATTTAAGCTGCATGATGGCAAACACCATGGTTATTGGAATATTTTAAGAACAACTAACTTTTTTCCTTCATTTTTTTAAAAGTGTATCTTTGATACCATGCGGTCAAAACTGAGACTCTATTTTGGCAGAATATAAGACTTCATGGTTCAACTCTTTTCCTCTTCAAAATAATGTTGTGTGGAGTTTTGCCCTGAACTTTTGCTTCCACTCTGTTTTGTTTCTTTTTTTTCTTTTTTCTTTACTTCCAAAAATGGAGAGTATTACGTTAACTTTTACAAGAAGACCATTAAGACCTCATAACAAGCATTTGAACAGTTTGAGGAGAATGGACTTCCAGAGTTGGAAGGGGGGTTGGTCACGGTGAATTGCATCTGAGACCTTCATTTTACAGGTGCTGGAGGACCATGTGACCTGTCCAGTGTCAGCCAGAAAGAGGCAGGTCTAGGGTCCTAACTTAGAATAAATCCTGTGTTCTTTCTATACTTTAAAAGAAAAGTTGTTATTTTATTGCAGGCAGTGAACAATCTAAGGGCTCCAGGACAGAGTGTGTCCTACAAATGGGAAGCGACTCTAGTGTTTTCTTAGGATGTGATGTGCCAGGTACAGTGGTAGGCACTGCATGTAACTTCTCTCATTCATTCCCCCCTGGATGTTTTATTATATTCTCATGTTACAAGTGGGGACTCTTCTTATGTTACAAGCAGTGAGGTGACAGCCAGTAAGTGCCTGGCCAGGGCTTGAACCCGGGTTATTCTCCAAAGTCTTGGTTCTGGAAGTCGGCCTTCTGCTGTCTTTTAAATCAGATTTACATGTATCCAAATAACTTGGAAAATGCCTAATTTGAGCTCATAAATTCTTGAGCACTTCTCATTTTTATAGAAAGGACGTAGAGTTTCTTGGCCTTGGACCTGCACGACCGTGTTTGTGTTCTGAGATACAGTGTGAACCCCCAGGCATTGTGTGGGCAGCGGTCCACATTTGGTGCTAGAAAGCCTGGCTTCACGTCCTGGTGCCACCACCATTGCCCTCTTTCTGTATTTAGAGATCTAAATATGCCCGAGGCAGTCGCGATGAGGAGGATGACTTCTCCACAGAGACTTTTTTTTTTAACCTCCTCCTCTGGGCCAGACGCTCTGCTCTATATTGGCCAAAGGCCCTGCAGTCTGGCTTCGTCTCTGCCACGGGGCTTATGAGCACTGGTCCTGGAGTCACACACCTTGATCCAGGCCTGGCTGTCCACTTCCGTACAGCGGGATCTTGGGCTAGATACTTGGTCTCTTTGTACCTTCGTTTTCTCACCTGTAAAAGGAGAATAATACCAACCTCACGGGATTGCTGTGAGGAGCAAAGGAGGAAAAATCCTTGTGAAGAGTGGCATTCAGTAGGTGCTCAGGAAAGGTTAGCACATTATCTGCTGTAGAGCACTCTGCACGTGTGAGGAAGTTTTACGTGACTGTAGGATAATCATCATCACGTTGTTATAACATGCAGTGGAAAATCTCTGTTGCCCTGCTTACTTTTTCCATTGTTCATTCTGACCCACCAGAGGCCAGCGGAAATAGTAGATGAGGAAGAAGACGGAGAAAAAGCAAACAAGGATGCAGAGCAGAAAGAAGATTTTTCAGGAATGAATGGTGAAGTTGAAGAAGGAGGAGAGAAGGAGACTACAGATGCCTCTGAGCAAGTCGGGGGGCTCCCGGATCACAGTGAGGAGCTGGCGGCTCCCACCCGCGTTAACGGAGGCACCGATGAAGAAAATGGTGAGGAGCTGGATCAGGTTAATACTGAGTCTCAGGAGGCAGTGGATGAGGAAGTAAAGTCGCAAGGAGCTGGCAGTGGACAAGATGAGGTATTTCTATTGCTTTTGCTCACTTGTGTTCATGTGTGAACGTGTGTGTGGTGCACACGCCCATGCACTTAGGGAATTATTCAAGCACTTAAGAGTTGCATTGGAACCACTTACTGTTGAGCAGGGAAGGACTCAATACCATTTACTTGACTATATTATTTCAGGCACTTAAAAGTACTGTCATCCATCTGTCAGAGAATCCATGCATTGTCCTGTCATCCATCCATCCACACACTCATCCATCCGTCCACCCATCCACCCATCCACCCACTATCACCATCCCATCCACCCACTAATCACCCAGCCATCCATCCATCTGTCCATTCATCCATCCATCTACCCACCCACCCACCCACCCATCTACCCACTCACCTACCCAGCCATACACCCATCCACTCATTCCCCATCCACTCATGCACCCACTCATCCACCCACTCATCCCCCATCTACCCATGTACCCACTCATCCACACATCCACCCACTCAGAACCATTTCACCCATCTACCCACTCATTTACCCATCCATCCATCCATCCATCCCTTATCTCATTCTACAGAGTTTGCAGAGGCTCCTGAGAATGTATATAACAAATATACACAAATACAAATAATTTAACATCAGGGAAGGTACAGACAAGAAATGAACATGAAGGCCATGAGATCTAGACGTGAAAGAAAGAATATCCCCTCTGTCATGGGTGACTTCTTTGTACTCTGGAGATGTTAAAGTTTCACTTGTTTAGTTCACATTAAATGGATTAATTGAATTAAGCATTTGATGTACCAGGCACTTAATAAGATAGGGTTCTATTTGTTATACAGAGAGGGTAAGGAATTACATGGTAAAGCCTCCTTCCTAGCCTGTTTTCCCACCAGGGGCCCTGCAGCAGGATAGTCTCACATGCAGGCATTCTTCCAGAGGATGGATGGTTAAACTAGAGACTGATGAATAGGCTCAGGTTCAACGTCATAGTGTAAGAGGTAGCTGCAGCCTTCTTCCCATCCTCGAGAATGAAGCCTTCCTGTCTATCCCTCTGGTCAGGGTCCACCTCTCTCAGGCTGTAACCTCTCAAGTGGGCCTTGCTGTCTTCATTCCTAACACCCAGTGTCATGAGTGTGGTTTTCTTGATGATTTATTATTGACTCATCTGTTTTATTTTGCTTAGGGGGGGATCAAATTTAGTAATGGTAAAAGAGCAAAACATTCTTGTGGCCAGGTTTTAATAACCAGCACAGAGTTGTCTGTAATCTGTTGTCTGTTTTATATGAAAACATTCTCAACATCTAAGTGAAAACACTCAATGTGTCTCCCATTTCATCTTTCCTCAAGGTGAGGGAATCACAGTTGTAGTCAGCCAGAAATTCCCCATATGCTATTCTACATAGTTACTGAAATTGAGCGAAAATTTCAGTAACTTCAGTATCCTGAAGTTGTTTGTAGCTAAAATTAGAAAAGGAAATCAGTCCATTACATGACTCCCTTTCCCTCAATAAGGAAACAAAATGAACTTCTCAAGGAATACACACACACACACACACACACACACACACACACACACACTTTCACAAGGGAAGCAAAATGGTTGATCTGGGGGTATCATCTGGAAAGCACAGTAATGTAGAGGACAGTATCCTCGTTGTCATGATATGGTAACTACAAGAGTCGGCTTCATGAAGCCCTTTGTTACTGTTGCCTTTGATGAACGTCTACAGCATGAAATCAAAGTGCAGATCCTATGTGGGACCCCGGTCATAAGCTCCCAAGTATGTACTCTTCCAGTGCTCTAGGTTTTAATTCAGTTTTATAACCTGAAACAGTTGTACAGAAATGAAGGGATTGCCTGTCTTCCATTCTGTAAATTTTATTTATTTATTTATTTATTTATTTATTTGTTTATTTTTATTTTTTATATTATTTTATTTTTTCCATTCTGTAAATTTAACTTTTGAAAATAGGCCTCTTATAAGAATCGGGTCTCAGTCAAGATCAAGGTCATATAATGTGAAGTACAGGTCTTCCGGGGATGTACTGATGGCGAATCTAAACTTGTGGGGTTGCAAATGAACAAGTACCTGCTATGTGATGAGTTAGGGATGTGAACCCTGCAAATGCCGAAGCAGAGCAGTCACCCACAGAGAGACTGAATCTTACTTGACTCATCTCTCTTCTAATGGCAAGGCATCTTGTTTTCATTCTCCCTCCGTTGCTCATTCAGGGACATTTGAAGTGTATCAAATATGCAAAAAACAAGATCCATAGGAATCCTAAATTATACATTAAAAATTAACTTTTTCAAAAGGATTGTTTACTTCTAGAATGACTAAGGGTTCAGTTTGTCGTGTAACAGTTTGTACCCTGTAGCTGTTCTTGGGCACAGTGTGCTGGGATGACAGGAAGACGGCAGGGAACACGGGAGAAACATACCACAAGCGACCGACATTCATTGAGCTTGTGCTCTATTTGAGACATTTCATGAGATAACAATGTGAAATAAGAGTCCCAGTATTTTTTTTTTTCCTTTTTAGAGCATAAATTATGGCTGTAGGGGCAGGGGCCTTGGAGCTAGTCCTCCTGTCCCCACTCGGGTGGCCCTTACGAGGGCCATGGAGCCTCCAGCCTTCCATGGAGCAGAGTTTGAAAACCAGCGAATTCTAATCCCATCCGCTTGGATTTCAGTCTAGTGGGAGAAGGACGTGTTGTAAATGAGACAAGATCCTTAATACCATAAAAGAAGTCCAAGCACAGGGATGCACATGCCATTGGAGAAATCCTGCCTCTGTACTTGGTTTCCTTCCTGCCCTTATCTGTCTGATACTTGAGGGTACTTGGTACCATATTCACGAGGAATTTGTGAGCTCTAACTAACAGAAAAACAACTGGTATGGGGCTGGGTTAATGTGCCATGAGGTAGAATTGCTGTCCTTTTCTCTTTTCTCTGAAAGTGCTGAAATGAAAAGTATAAATATGCCGTTGAAAAGAAAAACTTAAAGTGAAATCAAGAAAAAAAACTGAGGGGCGCCTGGGTGGCTCAGTCGGTGAAGTGTCTGCCTTCAGCTCAGGTCATGATCCCAGGGTCCTGGGATCGAGTCCCACATGGGAGCTTGCTTCTCTCTCTGTTTCTTCCCCTGATTGTGCTCTCTCTCCTTTCTCTCTCTCTGACAGTTAAATAACATCTTTAAAAAAAAAAAAAGAAAAAGAAAAAGAAAAAAAATTGAGAAAAATAAAGCGTGCAGCACAAGCAGTGAGTCTGTGCTCTTGCGGTCCCAGGTAGGGCTTTTGTGCAAGTAAGGTATTGAGGATGGCATGCCCACTGGGTCGAGATCAACTAGAATACAAAAGGGGTGGGCCCAAGGAACTATTTTTACTTGAATATTTATATGATTACCGGAAATACGGAGTCATTTTTTTCCCTTGTGAATTTTATGACCTTTGGGACTAAAGAGCTAAATATCTTTGTTTTGGTATCTTTTCTTCCAGGCTGACTTAGACCCTCAAAGACCACCAAGACCAGAAGTAAAAATCACGAGTCCACAAGAAAATGAGAACAACGAACAAAACAAGGACTATGCTGTCGTAGCGTAGATAAATTTTTAAAAAAGAGAGTGTATTGATTATCAGGAAAATGAAGGGTTTTAATACTTGAATAATAAGGATATAGTTACTGTTGAACATAATGTGACAACATTGAATACTACCTATGGAATTCTAAGATTAGAGGCTTAATGGAAAGACTAGATAATTTTGAGTAGCTACTAAAGGAGAGTGGCTTCTTTTCATGGGATATATTTGTAAAAGTCATTTAGAAAAATTAAGTAAGAGGGATAGAGGGACAGTTGCTCGGGATGACAATTGGCCACTTGTCTTGGTAAGCGATGAAAAAGGATAGGACCACACCTATTATAGACTTGTCTATAAATTTAGAAGTGAGGTTATTAGATGGGAGCTTATTCTAGAGCACTTATCTAGGAAGGCATAGAATTTTAAAAGAGATGATAATAGGAAAGCATGTACTTTTTTTTTTAAAGCAATAAACTCTTGAATAAACAAATTGTAATTTAGTTTCAGAGATGGCAGTAGATTGAAATGTTTCCTTGACTTGTTGATATTCTTTCCTTTCTTCCTCCTTATCCCAAATCCATCTCACGCGAATTAAAAAGAGCACATTTTGGAAGGAGGAAGTCTCCATTCAGTGTGTTAGTGATTCATCTGGGCACCCCCCTCTCCCTCAAGTGCTTCAGGTTTTAATCCTTATGGCTTTAATGACATGCTCAGGAAGGAATTTTACCATGGAACACCCAATTATAGTCACTGAGCCTGGCTGGATAGTTTGCAAGTTCTGATATCCTCTGGATTTTCATGGATCTAGTCTACCTTCACCAATAATACCCATCTCTTTTCCATCATGTTACTGTGTTAGAAAACTCAGTATTGGCTAGTCTAAAGATTGAATTCTCTCCAGATTTTTATAAAAGAACAACAACAAAAAAAAACCCAAGACTGCATTTGACTTGTTTTTTTGCCTTATTTCTATTAGGATTGGCCTTGTCATATTTTTGCCCCTAGGGATATCAGCAAATGTCTATTTTAATGGCCAGTTATATTTAGACTTTCAAGCAGATTCCTTCCTATATAATTAGAAGCCCTCTGATAGAAACTGTTGAAAAAGTTTAAATTGTCATGATGAAACCAGTTTCTTATTACACTTTTGTGGGCTAATTAAATGAACTCACAATGGCCTTGTTAGGTATCTATGGGGAAAACATAATTGTATGTTTTCTGAGTTTTTAAGAGATGACGCAGGTCTTCCTTAAATATAGAAATAGTATATTTTTCTCATATTGAAGAATATTTTTGTTAATTATGTAGATGTTATAAATTTGAAAGGAAACTTCTAGTGCTTTCGTAGAATTCATTATTAATCATAAGGTTAAAAGATTTTCTTCCCCTCCAGGTTTCATAACCAACCATTTGGAATAAAGGTAGTTATATCAAGCACTTAATAATACTACAGAAAATGAATGTATTTTTTTTCCTAGCAGCTATTTTAATATTTTCTACAAATAGGAAACATAAATGGAGACTATAACGTAACAGTATTGGAAATAGATGGTGATATAAGGGTATATTGATCTGGGAGGATGAATTGTAAATGGGTGTTCTATATTTCTGGTATAAAATCTATATTGTGCTTATTACAGGTAGGCTTATTTTTTTCAAAGGGGACAATATGAAACGCTGTAAACTACAAGCAACAATCTTGTGTTGCTAGGGAGATAGGCTAGCTGGTTTTTTGATGTTAAATTCCCGTGCCATTACTGGGCCTGGGGTTAATGATGTTCAATAGTTTATAGAAATCAGGAATTAAATGCAAGAAATTATAACTAATTATCAAGGTGATTCTTTCACTTTTCTTTCTTTAATGAGTTTCTCTTTTTTCCTTCTTTAAAAGAGATCTTGTATTTTTTTTTCTTCTTTTCCTCATTATACTATAAAGCTTAGGTTTTCAGGACCTTTTTAAGAGTCATCTCAATAATTCCAATGTTGTTTTACATGAACAACAAAATATACAAACACTTCAGGAAGATGACAGGCCACAGTTAACTATAGCAAAAAATGGAAAAAATCGGGATATAATTCTTCTCTTTGATGTGCATATTTTACCACCTGTTGACAAGATATATTGTGACCTAACTTGAGGGGATGAACAACAACTCATCACCTTAAAACTGTTTGTAAGGACATACTACTAAAAAAAAAAAAAAAGGATGAACTATGTTGTCTAACCAAGGAAAACATCATTCACAGAGAATGGGAAGTGTGAACATCATTTTGAGGATGACATCAGCACGAAGAAGGAAAGCTGACTCACCCCCCATGTGTGGACGTGTTCTCTGTGGGAGTCGTGGTCTCCGTGGCAGGTTAGCTGCACCAGTTAAGCTGGACTCATGGACAGATCTGGGGAGCATTTATGTGAGTGAGCAGAAGAGATCTTGGGCAGGCTGCAAGTATTGTTTCCAGCAGAGAAGATGCTGTGACAAACTCACATAGCTCTGATGTGCTAGCCAGTGGAATGCTTCTCCATGTCAGCTCTTTGTGAGGCTGTGGGTACAGACCCCCTCGTTCTAGTTTTATGGAACTCGTTTCTCAAGCTTAATTGGGTTGTAAGACATTCGTAAACAACTGGTTGCTTAGTTGAATTGGAACACTAGAGTTTTGCAGAGCAAAATATAGATTTTTAGCTAACATCATTTTCATGCTAAGGACATCATCTTGCTCAGTATCTTCTGTTCAGTATCTGCTGAGCATCCATGGATTTCTAGTTACACAGCATGACATTATGGTCATATGATAACTTTTTACTCATTGTTTTTCTCTATAGCCAGGGAATGACTTTCCACTTATTAAGACATTGCTTTTCCCCTTATGTCTTCTGGGGAATATTCAAATGCCAGACTCACAGGAAGAACATGACACTCTCATGCCTCCCATTTTATTCTGAGAGCGTTGGTTCCTGCTGTGGTCTGTAAAGACAGAACCATCCCATCTCTGTGTGGCTCAGAGTCTATTAGACAGCTCTGCGGGCTCACAGTTGTGAAGCCATACTACTGTGAACTTATTCAGGCTAGCTTTTCCAGCGTGTAGCTCACAAACCAACATCCTGGAAAATTTCGGTAAATGACCTATCTTACACACAAGGGATAAAGTTCATTCACCTAGGAAATATCTGTGTATTCAAAATTGTGGCCACAGAACATCAGGAAGGCTTCTTTGTGTTATTAACTGACTCTCCTAAAGAATTAGCTCTGTCCTTCCACTTTAGCTCAATAAATAGCAACGCAGAATTTTTAAAAGCAGATTAAATTACTAAAGAGAAAGCATCCCATGTGAACTGTTGCCAATCTGAACAGAAAGAGAATATATAGATATTCACATATACATATCAAATACTTATACAGATGCACTCACACACTTTGTTGAATGGGCCTCCTCAGGCATTGCGTTATTAATAGAATAAGACTCTCTTTGAGAGAAGCAATGTGTAAAGAGAGGAAATGCTAAGAAATGATCTATATCATGGTGCTTTAAAAATTGTTTCCTGTAGGATTTAAAAGATTTAAAATTTTCAAAGTAAGAAAGCTACCGGAATTCTAATGAAAAATTTATTCTATGAAGGAGTGATTGCAGATAGATAGATCGATCATCATGTTTTCCTGACCTAATGACAGAGGACAGTCTCTTAGTTCTTTGTTACCAGACTTAACTACCATATGTGTTAGGTGCAGAATATTTCACACCAACAGGGACTCTGTCAAAGGTTATCACTGTTGGTGAATATATGTACATGATTTACAGGAATGCATAGAGGACTCTCTTTGGTACCAAGTAGCGAGGTGCACTGCAAATAGAATACAAGACTGACTTACTATTTTACCATTTTATCTATAATGTTCTAGTTCAGTACAGAAGCTTTGTAGTGTCCTTGAGTGACTGTCATATCCTGGAGTAGCAACACTTTCTTGTTTTCTTTTTCCTTTTTTTTAAGGTTAGTCTGTTTTTCTAAGGTGACAAGCATGTGCAGCTCTTTGTTATTAAATATCAATCTTGTAAATACTCTAAGATTCTTTCTTTCCAGAAATTATCCCAGGATGGAAATGGGTCTGATTTTTGTTCTTACCACGTAAAATTTGCATATTTCCTACCATGAAATCTAAGTGACTCGGAGAGAGCTTGAAAGTGTGTCCCCACATGTTGATGAAGAAGGAAACCTTGCTTTGGAAGAGGTATGACATCCTGTAAAATATGGGGAATTAGGAAAGGATTTTAAAATGTCTGGATAACTGTAAAGCATTTGTAAAATCAGGAGGTAAGTAATGGAGCTCCATTGACTTAAGCCAACAACAGACTTAGCTTCAATCTACAAATGGGACCACATGAATTCTCTGTAGTTGATCAGTTTAAACCACACAGTCTAATTGAGTGACTGAGTTATTGCCACAAATGTCATGGCAAGTGGGAAGAGGGAATGACCATAGTGCGTATCAGAAGAAGTCTGGAGAAAACTCACCTTGGTTTTTGCTTCGCTGCTTCTTTTGTGCCTTAAATCCTTACTATGTACAATGATAGTGGGTGATTATTGATGTTGTAAGTAAAAGTTAAGTTGTGCTTATCATTTTTATGTGATTTATGTTTAGAACTTCTCTTTGTAAGGAAAATTATTTGTGCTTTGATCAAATTATGAGCATTAGTTTTTTTTTAATTTCTGTATCAGTGCTCATTCTGAAATATGAAAGTTTACTGTATCTCTTGAGTAAATAGATCTTTGTTTTATTTAACTAAAATGTATCTGGCTGTTTTATTGTTTGTTTATGATGTTGTGTGGTTATATTTCATTTACCAATTCTCTGCATGACATTTTTCACAAATGCAGTAGAAACTTTTTCATTTAAACCATGTGGAAATTCAACACACAAAATGATACTTCTGTTTCTATTTGGCATGAATATTAAGCTTCATTATGTAAAGAAAAATTGTTTACATCTTCATATACATGTTGTTTAGTTGATGAAATTTTCAGGTATATTAAAAAAAAAACATGGTTTTTTCTTTTATGAAATGGTATTAGGGAAACACAGGTCCAAAGTTTTTGTTATGTTATAAATAAAGACATCTTTAAAAACAGAACAAATTGCCCAACTTACACATATTTTGTGTAGATATGGCTATGGGAATAAACTTACAATTTTGGTTTTTAAACTTACAATTTTACAAAGAGTTTAGCTAAAATTCGGCTTCTGGTTGTGGGTGAGTCAACTGCTTTCATTCTACTAAATTAAAGTCATTTTATGCTTTCCCTTCATGTTTGAGAAACAAAGGTCGTTAAGTACGAGCATTTTGCCTTCTTGATATGTAATAACAAAATATGTGGGTTGAGGTACCACAGCTGAGGATAATACCTGTTGAGCAGTTGACCCAAGTATCTTTGTTATTCTATGAGAGTGAAAAAAGAAACCTTACCAATAAAGAAGGCATCTGGATTGCCAAAGTCAA